GCCCCCCCCCCCCCGCCCGCCCAGCCAAGGGCCGCATGCCGTTGCCGCTACGGCTGTCCGGAAACGAGCGGTACCATAGAGAAGCACGGAAGGAGAAGCCATTTCGCGGCCTCCCGCGCCGCCGCTCTCTATGGCGAGGCCTCCGCGGTACCCTGCCTGCCTGGGGCTCCCCGCATCAGCATCACCCCCGCGGCTGCTCGTTGCGTGCGCCCCGGTGTTGCCCAGAGCGCTTAACTGCGGGGTCTCCCGCGGGAAAGCGAAGCCCAGATCGATTTTAACCATCCTCTGCCCAGCCGTCCACTCCTGACCGGGAGAAACCCGCCGCATCCCCTCAGTTAAAGGATAAAACATTACTGCCGGAGGCAGCGGATAAACGCTGCTGCCAGAGCTCCCTCCCCAGCCTCCCCCACCGTCCCTGCTTTATTTCCTCCTTAATCCCATCACTCGCCTCATTTCAAATGCAACTCCCGTGCAGGAGCACCCCATCTTTCTTCAGCCCCTGCTCAATACACCAGGCAGGGAAATCATCTCGGCGGGCCCAGGAGATGCTTAAGGGTTGTACAGATGCCAAAGCATGCAGGCGAGCACTAACGGGGCTTTTTAAAAGCAATTAAGACCGAGAGGAGTTTACAGCTAGAAGCCGATTTTAATAAGGGTCATAAAACCCAGACGCTTTCTCGCACGGTCTTGAAAATGAGTTCACAGCTTTCTGCAAAGGCACGCTGAGAGCGGCAGCTGGCCGTACGCCTCCGTCTGCACCTGCTCCTTCGGGGCGTTTGTGGCGAGGACCAGGATTTCTGACGGCTTTAAAGCCTGGGCCTGTGCTCCCCGGCTTAGCTCAACCCAGCAATTACCAACCCGTTGCCCAGAGAGGCGAGGCTGGAGGCCCAGTTCCAAATATCAGCACTGATATCATCCACAAAAAGAGTCGCGTTTAAATCTGGGGCATCGCGCAAGGCAGAAATTCGAGGCGTTCTGAGCACAGGTCAGAAAGCTCCCTTTTCCCCGGAAATCTCCCTTTTCCCCATTAACCTCTGCTGCATCTGACGCTTCTGACAGGGAATAACCCACATATTTCCCAAACCACAAGTCATCTCCCACTGCCTGACGGACCTGCGAACGCTTGCCTTTAGATGGCACTGCGTTAAACAACATCCATGAAATCCAGCTGTGAAAAGGGCGGTTGTTCCCACCAACGCTTAGAAACATTTTGGAACTGCTCTCTTCGCAACAGGGGAGGAGAAAGGGCGTTTTGTGCCTGCGTGAGGCTGCGATTACCCCGGCTGAACCGAAAGCGCCGCTAATGCACGCTCACCCCAACTTGCTGGAGCCAGGAGCACCATTAATTTGGCACATTTAGCATAATTTGGCTCTGACGCTTAATTAAGAAAACTAATCACGGGGGTGGGAGGGCAGGTCTGGGAGGGTCTCTGCCGTCCCTGAGCCCCGGGTGACCCCCGGGAGCACTCAGGCTGTTTGGTCCAGCCACCGTCCAGCTCCCCCCCACCTACAGACCCGGCGTAACCCGTGCTCAAAGGGCGAGAATTTGCCCTTTGGATGTTTCACAATGTCCTGGATCGATAAACCCGCATGGGGCCGGTTAGAGGTGACACAGCGATGACACCAGCCCAGGACATCAGCATCCCCCGGGCCCCAGCCCAGGATAAATCAGTAATTCCCTATTTCTGATGCCAAAGGGGTCACACTGGATGGAGCCAGGCCCAGTTTTTCCCATCTGCGAGCCTGGATTTGCTACACAGGGACACGCCGTGGCCACCCCGGCCCCAGCCTCATGTCACAGCGGCCACATGGGGACCCTTCTCCGGTGGGTGTGAGGATGTCCCCGCACTTGGTGATGGAGAACAGGGTACGTGATGCCCATGGGAAGGCAAACACCATGGGCTGCCCTCTGCAACCCTCGCCCTGCCACGGGCCAGGACCAGGGCAGAGCATCCCTGTGCCTCGGGACACATTTGAAACGCGGAGCCTTATAAATCCCAGTTTTGAGGCTGGGGGGGGTCCTGCCCTGGTGGGGGGACAGCACAAATCAGGGATTGAAACCCAAGGCTCAGAGCAAAGCCTCGCAATGCCCAGGGCCAGCACCGACTCCTGCGCTGGTCCCACTTGAGCTAGTTGTCTTCTCTGCTGCCAGCTCCCCACCGTGACGCTGGGCTGGACTTTGTCATCAGTCTTTGTTTGGGACAGCGGAGTGCCCCGGGAAAGCCAGGCACGTCATCGCGGAGGGGCTGGAACCGGCCACGTGAGCATCCCACCCACTGGCAGCGGCTCAGTGGGCTGAGTTCACCCTCCCTAGGCAGGGAAAATCTCCCCAGCCCTGGAGCCCTGCCTGCCTCCAACACGCGATTCTCCTGCTAAACTCTTGCAATAGCAGCGATCACGTCTGGGGTCACCTCCCGCACCCCAAAACGGATACCCCACACGGGGCAAGGGTCTTTCCCCCAGCCCTGCCTCGAGCACTGCGCAATACCAGTACGACTTGCTCCAGCAATAAAACCCAGTAATAAAGAAGATCCACTTCAACATGTTAAGGCTGAATTTGCCAAATCATTGTTCCTAGAAGGGACTGACTTACCCCAAAGTCAGGCAAAGCACAGGCAGCAGTGACACAACCCCCTCCCCACAATCCGCTCCTTTCCTGAGCCCCCGACCACACGTTTGCAGCCCCTTCCTACAGACCCCGGCGGTTCTTAGCCGGGAACCAGCTCCGGATGCCCCGGGCACGGTGCCGCATCCCCAGCCGCATCCCCTATGGTCCTGCTGCAGGGAGGCCCCCGCCAGCAGACCGGGGCTTCCCCTCCCCAGGCATGAAAGCAGAGAGGATAAAACTAAGCCCTGGCTGGGAATAACTTGGGGGGGGACCCCACTTTTCCGTCCCTGGCGTCGCACTGCCCAGCTCTCCTCCCGCAGTGGCTCCATGCATCGTCATCTAGCCAAAAGCAAGACATCAGGGAGAGATGTTTCCTACGCGATGGCTTTATGGAGGTGTGTGTCTGCGTAGCCCCCCTCCTGCTGACACCATCCCTGCCGCAAGTCCCCGTGGGAAGCAGCCCCCCGAGTCCCAGGGCCCCGTCCTCACTGGATGCCCACCAGCTCCGTTATGGGGGGAGCATGGACCATCAGCTCCTCGTATCTCTGGAGGAAGAGCTGGAGCCTGGAGGCGTAGGTGTCCTCGTTGTACGGCAGCTTCTTCTGCTTCAGGTACTGGGAGACGATGGGTTTGATCTGCAAAGGCAAAGGCAGAGTCACCTCTGTGTGGGATATCCCGGTGTTTGTACAACGTTCCCAGCCTGAGGCATCACCAAAATCCCCGCGAGGTGCCCAGAAAACCCATCCCACATGCCTGAAACAGGGCTGGAGAAGGCAGCACCAGCTATAACATCTTTGCCATGAAAATTAAGATGAAGGCGGTTTCTAATTGTAGCAACGTGGGGAGTTGACCCTGGCAAAACGCCTTTGCAGGGCTCCGGATTAGGAGAGATGCCCTAATGAGGCTTTTAATGAGGGCCAGCCACGCATGCTCGTCACTTGCACCCATAGTTATCCCCACGTGCCCACACAGCCGGCTCGGCGGCGGGGCTGGGAGGCTGCCACCAACTTAATTACCCCTGTCCTGCAACACACCTTGCAGGAGGCACGTCCTACCAGCCCCGCGAGCTCAAGCAAAGGGCACGACCCAAAACCCACTGGTGCTCCCGCTCCCTCTATTCCTGTTACTTAATTTTGACCCCAACTTGAGACTGAAAATAAGTGCTCAGTATTAAATGAGTGGAGATCCCGTGCTGAAGGGCAGCGCACAGACCTGCCTTGGGATCTCCTCAATCCGGGTCAGTGCTCAGAGCTCATGTTTTGAACACAGCCCACACCTCAGAACAAC